ATGTTGTGCTTTCTGAAGAGAGGTTATGTTCGAAGTTATAAATTACGAAAAACTGAGGAGAATTACGGGAAATCATCACCGCGCCTGCGTTGTGTGTAATTACTGTTAGCATGTATATGGCTTGTAATTCGACAGTGTATAGTGAATATATATATATATATATATATATATATTTCTTATCACTCTCATTTTTGAAATTCAGCTAATTTGTATATGTAATTTCCACAATGAATAAGAAGAAGTGGATGTGCAACTAATTTCTAGCTTTGAATCTCAATTAAGTATATTAGAGACAAAAACCCAATGTAATTATCGTCAACACATACAACTCACAGCTTAGACCTCCAGTAATGCCATCTCAGAAGCAGATTTTACATTACATCAGAGCCAAAGATTGATAACAAGCCACATGACGTTTAGGCAACACGTACAACTAAGTGCTAACTTAACATTTTGTAGAATAATCTACATAATGTCAAAAAAACAGCATAATGTCAAAAAAAATCGGCATAATGTCAATTTTCAAGATACGTGATACCCGTGCGGTCCTGTACAGCCAAAAGCCTAAGGCGGCTATCTTGGTATGGGGCGGATCTTCTGACGCGCCCTATATGTGTGCCCTACTAGGGTATTTTGTGATCTCAGTAGGGCATTCGACTGCGTTGATTACTACAAATTCTTGGAAAATGTTAGTAAATACGGATTTGTTGGTCAGTAACTTAAATGGGCCAGATCGTTTTTAGTAAAATGAAAGAAATATGTTTCCGTACAACACCTTGATGCAGATACGCTAGACATTTCGATTGGCGGCCTCCAGGGTTCTATTCTTGGACTAATCCTTTTATATGTTAATTAATTTGATAATATTCATCCAGATACTCGTTTTACAGCATATACAGGTGACGTTTCTGCCATAGCCTCAAGTAATTCATACATAATTTTAGAAACGAATTAGTAAAATGAGGACGTGGTTTGAAAAATACTTACTATATTTGAATCCATCCAAAACAAAGCTTATTCGTTATCATCATACAAAAAAAAACCGTAGAAGAGTTTTAAGTTAGATTTGGTGACGATAATCTCGATTTTAGAGGAGAAACGAAATTTCTTGGACGTCATTTTGATTCGAACTTAAATTGAAAGTCCCACTGCGAATTTCTTGTAGAGGTAAACTCTCAAAGCTATGTTCTGATGCAATTAAAAACTATATTAACAACTAAACAACTGATACAAGTTTATTTTGCTAATGTGATTCCAAGATTTAGGTACGGGGTTATGTTTCTGGGGGGCTCTGAAGATGTATTTGTGTCTCAAAAAGATGCATTCGATCATTGGCAGGGATATCAAAAACAAAAGGTTGCAAGAATATTTTATGAATTTTAACGTTTTAACTGTCCCTTTGCTGTCTATATATTACCGGCAATCTGTATAATCCGGTATTCTATACAATACCTAGGTACTAGTAGGTAATGCATGAAATATTATTTGTTTTATACTTTGCCTAGGTATTCTATACAATACCGAATGCGCAGCCGGTAATGAATGTAAAAGACGAGAACAAGGAAGATTTTGTCCACTTCAAAATATCACAATACTTCCTCATGTAAGAATAAATAATTTTTTCACGTATGTACTTAATTAAAATTTTGACTATGCAGTAAATCTACACTTTCTATATTTTTTTAAGAATTGTTGTGAATCTTAATTTTTTTATACGTATTACGTACGTACTTGTAAGCAAAGAAAATTATGTTACTTATAGACAGAATAATTTTAAGTTCCAGGTTAATTTTCCTGTGATTTTTACTGTAGTAACAGAAGGGTGCTTTTTTGTACCCTTTTCATAAAGTCTATTTTTAAGGAGCATTTCAAGTGTTAATAAAGATGATTTTAAATACAGGGTGCGTCATCTTTTACTTTTTTTCTATTTGAAAAATCAACACGCCTTTTTCGAAGTGAAATCGAATATTTTTATTGATAAATGAAGGTTGGTTTATGCCATTTATGTATGAAAAATAACATCAGTCATGTCACCACCGCAGCTTCGTTACAGGCCAACTTCCGAACATCAAAATCTCATCAAATCATCAAAGACTTTTCCCAGAATAATTGGGTCTATGGCCGCAATTTTAGTCCGAATATTGCGCTTTGTATTGAATTGTCCGGGGACCATTGGCATACACTTTTCCCAAAGAAAATAGTCAAGAGGTGTTAAATCTCACGACCTCGGGGGTCAACTGACATCTGAATTTCGTGAAATTATGCGGTCTTGAAATTTCGTGTGCAATAAGGCGATTGTTTGACGAGATGTGTGAGCCGTTGCTCCGTCTTGATGAAACCAAAGATCGTCGGCACCAATACGATCCAATTGTGGCCACAAAAAGTATGTTAACATGCCGCGATAACGTTCCCTGTTGACGGTAATGGCCCTTTCTTCGCCATCTTCAAAGAAGAATGGTCCAACGATGCCACCAGCCCATAATCCGCACCAAACAGCCACTTTTTCATGATATTGGTGTGGATTTGCACAAACTTATAGGTAAAAAAAGTAATAGATGGCGCACCCATTAATATGACTTGTTTCATCTGAACGTCATTTTCTAGGTATGCTGGTTAACATTGTTAAATTTAGACCCAGATCTATTTATTTTACACATTTCCGGTGGAACAGCAGGTACTCTATACAATCCCTAGGAATTATATTCATAACCTAGGTAAAGTTTGTAATGGATAATAATATTCATAATATTTATACATTGCCTGGGCAACCCAGGTATACTATACAGGGTGGCCAAACACGTGACGTCATAAAAAAAAATTAGAGTGGAGTGGATTTCTGCGAGACAATGCTGCGAAGACAACGAGAGGATCCCGATTTTTTTGATAAAATTTTATGGACTGACGAGTCATGTTTTGAAAGAACAGGGATATTCAATATCCATAATTTACATACTTGGGCTGTTGAAAACCTCCACCAGTCAAGGCCGTCGACATTTCAACACCGTTTTAGTGTGAACATGTGGTCAGGAATATTCAATATGGAATTTATCGGTCCATTTGAACTGCCGTCAAGGTTGGATTCGGTAGCCTACAAAAGCTTCCTTGAAAATAGCCTACCATTATTGCTGGAAGATTCAAGCCTGGAAGCCAGACGGAACATGGTGTTCCAGAATGATGGTGCACCATGCCACAACGCAACGATCGTGCGAAACTACTTAAACGAAAGGTTCCCAGACAGATGGATCGGACGAAACGGACCGATACGATGGCCTCCACGCTCCCCTGACCTCAACCCCATTGATTTTTTTGTTTGGGGATATTTTAAAGACATAACATTCGCCCAAGAATGTGCAAATGAAAATTCATTGAGGAACAAAATTCAAGAAGCGACACATGTGTTGAAAAACAACACACAAGCATTTAGAGATTTAAAACAAAATTTCATACGTAGGTGTACACTGTGCATTTCTGTTAGAGGCACACATTTTGAAAACCTCTTGTAAATAACATAAATTAATAATAATCTGCTGTTCAGTAAAATTCAAACGTGTTTTTGTGGTTTTTGCAATTTTTTTTTCCGAAACTAACAATTTCTATTGAGCAGAGGGTTATCCAATTTTGGGTTCGGTTCTATTTGAGCCACAATTACGGTAGCATGTAGTAAAGCTAGGTTGATGAAATTTTTACGGTAAATAGCTGATACCGTAAGGAAGTTTTTAAGATACTTACGAATAGTAAGAACATGTTTTTTCAATTTTTTATAAACGTTCAAAGTTGTTGCACTTTTTTACTTTTTTGTTATGTTCGAAGATTTTGAAAAAAATTAAAAAGTAGTATTAGTTACATGACTTGAATGATTATATGATAGTTAAGCCTTTGGTCTTAGCTACATAATCGTGAAAAAAGCAGGCATTTATCACAATTATTAACGAAGTTATGGTAAAAATAAACACAGAACTCAAAAATTCTCGAAAAATCCGAAAAAAAATCATAACTCCTAAACTAAACAAAATCGGACCATATATATGGGGGTGATTTGGGTTCCTCTCGATGTGGGGAATCTAATTTTTTTTTTATGACGTCACGTGTTTGGCCACCCTGTATATTGCCTAGGTATTGTATAGAATACCTGAATTATACAGATTACCGGTAACATATGTATGAATTGTGCTCAAATGTATTTAACAATAATAATAAATTCAAACAAAACTGTGAGGACTAGTAAAAATTGATATGTGAACTTTAGCAAATCAAAAGCAGCATTAATTAGCTGGTCCTCTTCTTTTATCACATTAACGACCAGCACTAATTTTTTTAAATTTGCTTTTGGACCAAGGTATTTTATTTTCCAAGCATTCAACCTGCCAAACAACGCATTTAAACACATCACATCTGTGTCCCTATTTGACCCATATGACTTGAAACATTACCGTTGCCCACATAGGGACACACGGTATGTGCAGAAAACAGAGTGTGCACCATAATGATGCACATGGTCGTTAACGTATTACATAATTTACCAAGCCATATTACGTCGATTAAAAATTTTAACCAGTATAAGTTTACAATTCTTCACTCAAAAATGCTTTTATCATATTAATGAATTCTGAGCAATGTAGTAGAAGATTAGTTGTAGCTGGAATTGACAATGCCAATACAATTGTAAATTGTCTATATGGAAATAAAGGTTTTGGATTTTATTTGGATTTGGACTTACTTTTTTTAAGAACAGAAGATATCTCAAAAACCACGTTATCGATATGGTTGAAAAGCTGAACGTAAACAAGCGTAAACCTAGAAAACCCTTGTAATACATGCATTGTTACTGGGTGTTTTTTTTCATGTCACTTTATATGTCTTAAAGGTCAACGTCTGAGGAGTTATTCCAGCTCTTAGTTCTCATCGATCGTAAACAACCAAAAATTAATGTCCATCTGCAGAGCCGAGACCCGGCTCGGCATACTGCGTGAGCGACAATTACTGGAGTGAATTAAACTTACTACTTTTATAGCTTCCAGATGACGTTGATAATCGTAGCTCTTCTGTATCTACGAAACTCTCTAAACCAAGAAAGTAATAGCAAAGAAACACTACAATATTAGGTATTAAACAACACGGAATACGAGAGACTGCACGTGCTACAACTACTTCACACTATTACAACTAGGTATAATAACCGTAACCACCTCAACATATCTGATCAATCGTCTGTATATTGTGCTATTCAGCAGGTATAAAGTACAAGATAGTATAGTATAAAGTTCAAATAAGGCTCACGACAGAATTCAAAAAAATTAACAAACAATTTCGATATTTGCTAGTTGTAAGCAAAAGATGGCCTACTGAGGTAAAGTTATAAACCTAGACTTTGACATTTCATGGATCATACACGTGTTTGTCTTATATTCTGCGAAATAAACCGCATTACTCAAGGAAAAATTCATAAAGCGTGGATAGTGCAATTTTATGTAAATTTACACCTCTTGGGTAGATCCGTATCAAGCGATAGTAACGGTTTTCTGACATGGTCGTCGCATAAAATAAAATTTGGGCAAGATAGCCGATGAAACAGGATAATTGTTTGAATTGTTCGATAAACTTTTGAAATTTGAGCCTTGATACCTTTTTAGCTATGAAGTTACTTCAAATGTACATTAAAAGAAAATACCGTGTGAAGAAATTGATCGAAATAAGATAGCACAAAGTGCCAGCTTTACCACAACCAACCACAATGAAAGTGGAAACCTCAAGCTATCTGTTGAAACAGCTATTTCGTGCTATTTGGCAACTTTTCAGTATGGTGTAGGCTGGATCTCAATCGATTATGGTAATAGATGTCACTTTGTGAGAAGGTTGCTCAGCTTTCGTTCATTGTTCACCAAAACTTAAGAGTTGGCAAATAGCATGAAACAGGTGTGGTCGGACTAACTAACTATATTGCTAGTTTTTCTCCAAATGTATATCCCACTAAGCATGCTGAAACTTTTGCCACTACAGTGAGTCATAGTCCATAAAACAGCTCTATCTGACTTTGGACCTGCTCCAAATAAAATTATTTCCGTCTTCCCAAAACTTTTTCCCAGAGTTGGCTATCAGATGACCCAGTTGGGAACTATCTGTCTGCGATATCTATGCAAAAAGTTACCTAATTTCATCGGAACTGTACGGCTTAGCTTGGACAAATATTTTTCTTCTGATGTAAGCGGTTCAGCCGTAAACATTTTATTATGGAGAAGTAAATCGTCTACAGTATACATAATGCATGAGCTACATCTCAACGTATTTGCAATTCTATTCCTATAGTTTTACATTTTAGGAGACAGATTGAGTGTTCTTGAGTTTTGATGCGTTTGGGTAAATGGGAATATAATAGATGAGTGATTCATAGGTAGTTGATCCAGGATATTCTCACTGAAACTAAGGGCAGGAATGTCTCAGTTTGGATACTGGAACATTAATTTTCCAGGCATAATTGTATGCTTTAAAAGTGTATACTAAAATGACTGGGGATAGAGGTTCACCATCACTCACTCAACATCTGAAAATGAAGGAAAGGAAACATCTAATTGGTATTCTTTAACTAAAATATTGGACCATGAGTTTTTTTTCAGGTTTTTTCTGATGGTTTGTTAGTTTCTTTGAGTGTAGAAGTACTATATCTCGCATTTGCAACATTTTAGTCGAAGATTGCATGACAATTAACCAGCGAGATACGACAACAGGTGAGTTTTCACGGTTTTTTTTGGGGGGGGGGGGGACTTTGTCGTTTTGGAGGGCTGGACGCTTATTTTTGGTAGCGGTAGCTGGTCCTGGGCTATGTTGTTTTTCCGTGATGCCAGCTTAAAATTTGGAATGATTTCCTCTCCCGATCTCAGCGTGTTACCGGACCTTACACATTATTGCAGTAATACACTGTATAGAAATATGAACATAAAAAACACAAATGAAGTTGAAGACATATAAATAAAATATATTGTCAATGCCATTGTACTAAAGAAGGCCATTGTTGTTGCCGAAACGTTTATAATAGGGGAGATTTTTCCAACACATGTAGTTTTGAGCGGCCAGTTAAAAGAAGGAAGGATTATCCCAATTAATATTTTCCTATTTTTATTACCCGACTGTCTCGGGGAGCGTAATGTAAAAATGTATCTTACCGGCTACAGGCCAAACATCTTGACAAATTTTGACATGTGTTGTTAGATCAGTCTTATCGTTTTGGTGACACAAGCTATATTAAATTTTTATAAAAACAAAATAACGTTTCTTAATAAAAGAATTCAACCTTGAAATTCCATTTTCACCAGCTACATCATAAGCTGCTTAACGGATTTTGACATGCAGGGTGTTCCATACTTAAATGGACACACTGAAACTTGTGCTAGTATGAACCAAGACCTTGTCATGCCTGAAAATTATCTAAGCACATATCTTAGGGACTATTGACCGATTTAGTTGAAATTTTGCACGACAAGAAAGTTAGCTAGGAGTAACGTAAAACTAGGCGCAGTGCTAAAAAATGCAGGGCCGTACTAGACGTTTTTCACTGTTTTGTTTTACATCAAAAGAAAAACCTCTTGATCTGAATATTGAAATGATTGACTATATAGTCAACGCCAAACAAAGTGGCGTGCACGTCATCACGATAAAAATGCCTAGGTTTCTATCACAAACAATTGCTCTATTGCAGTTTCATATTAATGTGATATATAAATTGTAAAATGGTCATTACTCTCTTATTATGGTTAATAGTCATATAAACATTATTATTAAAATATCACATAAGTTGCTTTCTGATAAATTTAGACGCATTATGCGAAATAAAATGTTTTGCAAACGCTCCAATCACTTATCGACATGTAAACGCACTAAACCGATTTCGCAGCGTTGACACATTGTCACCTTGAAACTTATTTAAACTGGGAACTGACATTTGTATTAATTTTGACACTGAATCAATTTGTGGCATTTCAAATCTTTATAAATCCTTTGGCCCCGCATACTGTAAATCAACAACTGTTTCTTTCAAAACAAAATTATTCATTTTACGAGTAAATAAAGGCAATTTTGGTATACATATAAAGATGCCCAAACAGTTAAATAGTCGGTGTAAGGAACTCGTGGCCTCGTTAATGCACTACTTTGAGCAAGAAAGGGACAACAACGGGCCTTTGTTGCCTTTAAATGCTGTTCAAGAGGTAGGTTACTAATAATTATATGTAATGTATATTAATAATAGTGAAATTTTATTTCATTTTTTGTAGCGTGTTGCTGCTGCTTTAAAAATTAGTTTAAGGACAGTTAGTCGTATTTCCGAGGGAGTGAAAAGTGATGCAAATTTAGAATCGCCCAAGAAAAAGCGGAGTTATATTAAACGTGTAACCAACACAGCGACATTGGATACAAGTGCCATTCGAGAAGTGATCTATAATATGTATCACAAAAGTAAGATCTTATTATAATAACTTATCAGAAATTTGCATTAATTTGTTAACTAAATTATAATGTCATATTACACATGGTTTCAGAAGAACAAGTTACGATACAAACTTTATGGTCTCGATTAAGAGATAGGGCATTATTTGATGGTAGTGCCACGTCTTTAAGGCGGTTGCTTAGAGATCTTGGATTTAAGTGGCTTAAGGACAATTCGCGACGAGGGCTCATGGAACTACCAAGTATAGCTTTGAAAAGGGTGGAATTTCTAAGGCAATACAATCAAGCCAAGGTTGAGGCCTTATACCAGTTTGTATTCCTCGATGAAACTTGGATATTTCAAAATGGGACCATAGGTCGCTCTTGGCAAAATGGAAACCAAAAAAGCGTGAAAGCTATTAAAACAGATGGTAAAAGGACTTTTACACAATTTGCACTATAAAATTTAAAACTAATATATTTTAGATACATTATATTACATGCTGGAAATGAAAATGGGTTTATTGAGGGTAGTGAAGCGATATTTTCTTCGAAAACAAAATTGAGCGATTACCATGGAGAGATGAACCAGGACAATTTTTTGAAATGGTTTCAACATCAGTTATTAGAAAAATTGGAGAGTCCATCTATGATTATACTGGATAACGCCCCTTATCACAGCATGATATTGAACAAAGTGCCCAACAATGCATGGACAAAAAAAAATATCCAAGACTGGTTGACAAATCAAAACATACCATTTTTAAACACAATGTTTAAAACAGAGCTATTGAGTATTGTTGCTCGGTACATAATGCTTCTTAATTATATATATTTTGGTCGACAGTTTATATTTCTTTTGTTTATTCCTATTCTTAAAATAACTGCTTTTTTAGAAACAAACCACCTAAAATATACGTGATTGATGAATTGGCGGAACAACATGGGCACAAAGTTCTTCGTCTGCCTCCTTACCATTGTATATTTAACCCTATTGAGTTAATTTGGGCCATAGCAAAAGGTTACTATAACAGACATATTGGTAGAGATGGTAACAGTGAAAAAGACTGTTTGGATATGTGGAACGAGGCTCTACAAACGGTTACTCCAGACATGTGGAAAAATAGTGTTCGACATACTGAGCAAGAAATTTTTAAATGGTATGAAAGAGAACGAATTTTTGATCGACCAGACATCGAACCTTTAATAATCAACTTTGAGAGTGATGAAGATTCAGATTCAGACAGCGCTGAAGAAAGAAACTCCGACTAACTTTATTGTACAGAAAAAGCTTACACCAGTAGCTTACCTAATTTTAGAATGCATTTTTCTGTATGAATTCTGTAAAATAAATACCATGCATAAAATTTGGAGGACCCCCTTTGGATTTTTATTCAGTACCTTTAAGCTATCAATTAAATATGGTAGTTTCATAGTGTCATCTGATCAATAATTGTCATACTTAATGATTATGCAAGTACAGATCTATAATTTTATTATACTATTATTTTTGTTCTCATTTGAGGTTAATATTGCTTATAAACCTAGATATGTAAATAATAAATTTTATTATTTTACAAAAAGATTGGCAACAATGTAAATTTTTCAACACACCCACCTTGATGACATGCACGCCACTTTGTTTGGCGTTGACTATAGGCGAAATCACGAAAGATGACGATTACGTCATCATTTTAGTCTGTAGTAAAGACAAACGACAGCGATTTGTGAATATTTTTAATGAAGTTTCAAATATGTTAGACAGAGACA